TGTCCGTGAGTTCCATAGCACTGATCCACTAAGACACACGGGGATTCACAGGTCATTCCCTGCCAACGTGGAGCACCATTGCTAATACTCACTGAGCCTCTCACCATGGTCTCTGCTCTGGTGGCATACCTGTTATGGTGGCACAGGCACTGTGAGCTTGGGCTGGGCTAAGAGCTGGAATTCCCTGTGTGCAGTCCAGGGGAGCAGAGTCCACTCTTCCCATCAGTTCCGTGCTTCCCCCAGGGGTCCCCTCACTGCAGTAAACCCCTCCTGCTCACTGTCTCCAAAGGTGGAGGTTAACCAGTCAGTCCCCAACTAACAGATCCGTGATGCCTCAGAGCTTCTAGGCATCCATTAAACATGTCTCATTTTCTCCCATCTCAACCATACATTGGGGCTGTTTCTCTAATAGGGAACTGAGATCCGTAAGGAAGTGACTTCTCCAGGGTTACACTGGCTGCAGGGTTCAGAGCTGTGAATGAAACAGTGCAGCCCGCCAGGAATCCTCCCTCTTAACCCCACCACATCCTGCAGGAATAAGGACAGGCTGAAACAAAAGGCCTTGGCAACACGAGTCTGCCACTGCCACTTGAAAATCCTGAGCCATTCGAGCCAAACACAGCTTCTGGACTTAAAAACCATCACCAAAGCCCACTCTCGTTGCTTTGCTTTGTACCTGCACCGTTTTGATGCCAAGCTGAGCTGCTGCTTTTAGGTTCTGGCTGTTGTTATCGAGGAAGATGGATTCCTGGGGCTGAGTGCCCAAGCGCTCCAAGCACAGCCTGTAGATCTGAGGGTCTGCCTTGCCCATCCCTTCCCGGTAGGATTCAACCACCTACAGCAACAACAAATGGATTATGCATGAGCCTGCTGTGACCACGGTCATCTGCAGCGCTGGAAACGGAGGATGGGAAGGTGGGAGACTGCCAGTCTAATTAGCATGTGAAATAAAGGACACGGAGGGCTGACAGAGCTGGATAGGGCATGATTCAAGTGACTGCATGGGTGCCACGGCTGTGTCTCTTCCAGGCCAAACCAGCTGAACAGGATGAGCCAGTCCTCAGATGGAAGATATCCAGAGAGGACTGGATATCCCAGACCATGCTGAACCAATTGCTCAATGCTGTCCAAGAAAGCCTTGGGTTGCACCTCCTTCCAAATGATCTGGGAAAGTGATGTCCTGACCACTACACCTATCGACCACACAGCAGCAGAGATGTTGACCACAATCACCTGCTCACATTGGGGCCAAAGTATTGAGTCAGACTCGGAACACTCATGATGCCCTCCCAACCATAACCAATTCAAGCAGTATTTCACCCTGGCACTGACAGACACTCCAGGAATAGAAATTAATCTATTACATAGATATAAAAGCTATGCTAATGGAAATCCACATTCAATTAATTTTTTCCTCTACTAATTACAGTGCAGTGCTGTTGCCTGCTGTTACAGAAGAGCCACGTTGCATGAGTGATGACACCAGATAGGTGATGGTTAGTGAAGGGCTTTGAAACAGTCTGGGATGAAAAGAAGCACCACAGAGCATCCCAACAGAGCATCACTCCGCTATGACAACTTCACAGGCACCAGTGTCACCGCATAGAAAGCTGATTGTGTAATGATGTAACGGTGACAAGGTGACCCTTCTTTGCATATTTTATTGTCTTAAGGCTATAAACCAAACTTAAGTCACGAATAAACTCCTGGAATTTGAAGGTTTGAGCTGGGGCACATAAAAAGAAGCCAATTTTCTGTCACGCAGAGCTGAGTCCCCATAGCTGCCTGTCAAAGCGAAGCCCCTTGAACCAGCCTGGAGGCTCACAGCTGATCTGCTTCATCTCTGCAGCAGGAAGTGTGCTGGCAGAGGGGCCTCTGCCTGCTCAGCAGCTCAGGCAGGTTGGCGTATTGGAGCTGTGGGATTCCCAGTTCTTTGGGATGAAACAGGCTTTAAAAGGACTAAACATAAAGCAGGCAGAGACATTGGGGTATGACATTTATTGCTTGTATAGTGTTCCAACTCCTAAGCTCTTTATTAACCTATTATCTATATAAAGATATATCTATATCTATATCTATAACCTCTATCTCCCTATGCCTGTTACACGGGTACTTGTGGTTGTGTGGGCATTGTGCAGTGAATTCTCACATGCATAAGTACCTGCCCCTCACTCAGACCCTCTCCAAGGCCCAGCCACTGCAATGAATTCTGCCAGGAACCACCGTCACAGGCAGTTACATTTACAGCTGCTAACACGTGCTGCTGGCTGCCCGTCATTTGGTACCTGCCTGTAAAGAATTCCAGTTGCTGCTTCCTAGAAACCTACAGGAACGCATTTTAGGATCCATCCAGGCTTACCACATCAAAGTGCTTTTGTAGGGGCAGGAAGCTCTTCCCATTCAGCAGGCAGAAGTCCATCAGAAGAGCTGTCTTAAGACCTTCTGCACGGATACACTGTACTGCTTCTGCCATTATGGGGAGCTGTTTTATCATCTCCTTTCTGATTAAGGCCGAGAGCAAAGAGTCCACTGGAACACGGATGTTTGCCTAAGAAAGCAAACCCCAAGAATGGTAATTACCCAGAGACTGGTTTTAAGCAGGGAGGAAAAGCAGAGTGCTTGGGTAGGTAGACTGCCCGATCATCTTATCTTGGGGTCCTGCTTCCTTTGGCAGCAGAAGGCAGGCACTGAAGCTCGCAGCTAAATTGCTGAGACCAAATAAAGCAGTGTTCTCACATTACTCATTCTGCAGGAGCAGCAGCAGAGATCAAGGGCTGATTTGGGGAGAGAGAAACACACCAGGGCTGTGTCTGCCATGGAATCAAGGTGGGTTAGAGAGAAATCCTGCAGGCAGGAAAGGAACTGGCATTTTAGACTGGGCTGGTTTGGAACAGCTCTGTTCAAAAGAGGGTTCCTAAAGCTGTGTTGGAGGGGCTTCTGCTGATCCTAAGGACCATGGTCTGTGTATGAAGTAACAGCAAAAGCCTTTCAGCTGGTTTCTGGCCCCGACTTCTCATCTCCACTTATTCTAGAGGTGTTGTGAAATGAAACCATTATGAAACATGCAGGAAGAGGCTGGTGGAAGCAGAGGCAAATTCAGCTGAACACGCAGCCTGGGTACCAGAATGATGACAGCAGGGAAAAGTCTGCCCTGAGCAGACAGCGATGCTTCCTGGATGCTACATCCAGACCCTTCCAAAGGACTGCTTTAAAAAGCTGCTCTTCCCTCCCTTCTGGATCCCATTCCCCTGCAGTCAGGAAGCACAAAGAGAGGAGGGGGTTTTGGCTTACAATCCCAAAGCACTGCCGGCCCAGTTCCTGCAGAAACTCCACAGCTGTCAGCTCTCCTCTCGTGTACTTCAGGGAGAGGCTGTTCTCTCCTCCAGAGAACACAGCTTGCTGGATGGTGCCGGCTGGGAGACAGTCCCGGGCCTCCCAGTCTACATAGGAAGAAAGCCAGGAAAGAGCAGGTTTGGCATCATCAGAACTGGGAAATCAGCTTGGAATCCCTTTGGGGTCTGATCCACCAACCAGCACCCATGAGAACTGACGTGGACCAGTGCAATTTACCCAGACACAGACAGGAGGTTTGGACATTCCCCCAGGTGAAGCACCTCACCTCTGTTTTCGGTGCGGTACCTTGGGGTGAAAACATGGAGCTGTTAAAGCGTGCTGAGGGGCTGTAACGTTGGGTGGTATCAGACAGCATCACTACAGGACAGGTTCAGCACCAGATGGGTTCAGGCGCGGACCTGGAGCTGTCAGCACTGTCGCTGGTCGCTGTTTTGGTACTTCTGATGACACCAGAGGTACCATCATCATCATGGTGTACCACCACCATCATCATCATCGTCATGGCAAGCTCTTGAGCACCTCACCAGAACCAGCAGCAACCCACGGGGTCACCGGGAATCTACTTTCCCTCCATGCCTGCAAGCGACAGAAGCAAATGGGAATACAGACCCGCAGCTGTCTTGTAAGGGGATGGGAGGAGCGCGCCGGCAGCGTGGAAGATCACGGCTCTGTAACGGCACCAACCAGACCGGCTCCGATGGACTGATCCCTGCAGGTGCTGCCGCATCCCAGCACGCAGCAGGCACGGGGCGGCGCGGGCGATGCTCCACGGGTACATCCTGGGAACCACGCTGAGGGTGGCAGGAAAACTACAGCTGGCCTGTATGGACCGAGGAGATGGGATATAGGACACAGAGCATTGAATTACAGGGGTAAGTGTTTATTCACTTGTGTGGTGTTACACAGGGCCCTTGTGCCCTTCAAAGGCACAGCATGGTTTGACTAACGGCTGGCACACATCACTAACACACTACTGATTACAAATCACAGCAAACCTTTGCAAAGCGACTCTATCCTTGCTGCTTCTCTATTGATGCAGCAGCCCATGAAGCCAGTGTTGCTCAAGTTAATTATCTACGATGCCAGGCAATGCTGGGAGGGTTTCAAAGACGTATTACAGAGGCTATAGGATGCTGCTGTTTTGATTATCCAGGGCATCCTTCACCCTTCACGGACACCTCTGTGCCATGAAGCAAAGTCCTTATTTCCATGGCTGGGCTTTTCGTTTCTTTTCCTTCACCATGAACCATAGCACAGCCCTGAGCTGCAACATACCAACGTGCTGGGTGCGGGGGGGGGGGGGGGGGGGAGGAAGGAAGAGGGGTTTTAAGGTTTTAATTAATTATGGGGGTGTTCTGTAGCCAAAGCGGATGCGGCCTGAGCCCTCCATCCCGGCTGCATCGCCATGGTAACGGGGTCCATGGCCCCTTGCCAGGCAGGGGCCGGCTTCCCCCGGCCAGCCAGCCGCAGCCCCCCCCGCTCTCGCGAGAGCTCACCTCCAAGTCTCGCGAGAAGCAGCGGGGCACCACTCATAGCCCCCGCGCCCTCCTCCTCTCCCTGCTCCTTCCGCCGCTGTCGCCGTCGTACGTCTGACGTCACCGCGCCGGGGTCAGAGGGGAGAGGCGCGGAAGCGGCGGAGGCCCCCGGAGCCCGGGCCCATGAGCGTGTCGCTGGTGGTGATCCGGCTGGAGCTGGCCGAGCACTCGGCGCTGCCCGCGGCCTTCGCCTACAGCGCGGCTGGTGAGTGGCTCCGGTGCCCCCCCACCGCGGCCCGGGGAGGAGGAAGCGGCGCTGAGGCCCGCAGGCGCCCGGGGAGGGGGTCGAGGGGTCGGTCCCGCTCCCGGTCCCGGCCCCGCCGCAGTGTGCCAACGGCCGTTGTTTCCTGCGCAGCTCCGGACATGGCGGCGGAGGGCACCGGCGCGGCCCCGGCTGCTGTCCCGGCTTGTCTGGAGGGGAAAGGCCCCGGGGAGCGGGCGGCCATCCTGCACCAGCACCTCGGCCGCAGGGAGATGACCGATGTGATCATCGAGACCATCCAGCCGCGCTCAGGTACCGGCCCCCGGGGGGCGAGGTTCGGTTTGTGCTGCCCCGCTCCGGGGGGTGGGGGGGGAAGGGGCCATGGCCCCGCGGGTGACAGGTGCCTGTCGGTGTGGGGGTGCAGGTCCGGAGGCGCTCCTGTGGTTTGGGAAACAAGGAGAGAGGTTGGGGGATGTGCAGAGAGGGGGGTGGGTATTCCTGGCAAGTGTTCCTTGCTCCATAAAGGTTTATTTCTTAATGGAGCACCTCTGGTGTGGGAGCCAGGCTGAGAGAGCTGTGCTGGGGCAGCCTGGAGAAGAGAAGGCTCCTGAAGGGGAGACCTGAGAGCAGCTCCAGTGCCTAAAGGGGCTGCAGGAAAGCTGGAGAGGGGCTTGGGACAAGGGATGTAGGGACAGGCCAAGGGGAATGGCTTTAACCTGCCAGAGGGGAGATTGAGGTGAGCTCTCAGGCAGAAGCTCTTCCCTGTGAGGGTGCTGAGGTGCTGGCACAGGGTGCCCAGAGAAGCTGTGGCTGCCCCATCCCTGGCAGTGTTCAAGGCCAGGTTGGACACAGGAGCTTGGAGCAAGCTGCTCCAGTGGAAGGGGTCCCTGCCCATGGCAGGGGTTGGAGCTGGGTGAGCTTTAAGGTCCCTTCCAACACAAACCAGGCTGGGATTCTATGAGTTTATTTTGGGCTGTGCCACAGGCTGGTCAGCGTTTTGCTTGTCAGCATTGCTGCTCCCTAGCAGTGAGTGCATTCAGTGCTGCAGATGTTTAAATTCCCTGACAGAGAGGAAATTTCAAGCTGGAAGCTCCAAGCCAAATGTCCAGGCTGCTGTTGGAGGAGCTGCTTTCTCCAAGCCCTTGCTCAGCAAACCTGTCTTGCTTGTCCTTTGTTGACATGGGTGCCTGTTGGGGTTTGGCTGGCACAAAACTCGCTGTGCTTGATCCACAGCACTGGGTCCTGCCAGGGGCTTGTGCCAGGTGTGTGGCAGCTCTGGAGTTCCCTGTGGGACAGCAGACAGGAGCTGTGTGTCGTTCTGCTGCTTTCCAGTGTTGGAATTTGCCTTCTCCGAGCTGTTGTGCACATGCAGGCTGTGCTTGGGGAGCAGGAGATGCTTCTGTTGTGCCATTAGTAATGTGGAAACCTTTGATTTGTATAAGATGAAACCAAAGCTGCTGTGGAAGGAAGAAAAGCTCCAGAGGCTGCATCTGCTGAGGACAACAATAAACCTGACGAGCAAAGCAAAGAGCATGAGGCTGCTCCTGACTCGCCTTCAAAACAGCTTCCAGACCAGATCTCCTTCTTCAGCGGGAACCCCTCGGTTGAAATTGTCCATGGCATCATGCACCTGTACAAAACAAAGTAAGGATGCTTGGATAATTGCAGCTCCAATGGGAATGCTGCTCCTGAGTAATGCCAGCACCCGGAAGGGCAGGTTGCTCACCCTGGGGCTGTGGCTCCTGAGCTGGGACAAACAGGAAGGTGACTCAAAGCAGGAGGGCAGAAAGGCTCTGATGATGTTAGAGCTGGAGGCTGGCCCCATCCACCAGCTGTGGGTGATGCTGCTCCAGGTGTAAGGGTGCAAGATGAGTGCAGGTTCCTATAAAATGATGTTTGGAAACAGCTTCTGAAGGGATCCCATGAGTAAATTGTGGGCTCTGAGGTGGTGGCAGCAGGCCTGAGGAGCTGTCAGGGGCAGGAGGCTTCCTCCTGCGTTTCAGAGATGATTATTCCCTGCCATTCCCATATAATCACATGAGAAGTGCCATGTCAGGTCTTCCTGAGACATTAAAATGAGCATTTAAACTGGTAGCAAATGTTGCTCACATGTTCTAGGAATAGTTCTGAGCCTTTGTGGCTTCCCAAATTCAATGGTTTTTATAGGAAAACAGATGTCAACTTATTCCTGACAAAACCATGGGCGTTTGGAGTTGCCCAGTTTAATCTGGGAAGGAGTCACAGGTCCGTGTGGGCACACCAGACTCTCACCACTCCCTTGCTTCTCTCTCTTTATATATACAAAGAAGGACAAGGTTGAGAACAGAGTTATCAGGGTCAGTTGTTGGGAATGTGTCCAGCCGTGCCTTTGCCCTCTCTGGAGGGAGCTGAGGCTGTGTCCCTGTTGTCTCCTCAGCAAGATGACCTCCCTGAAGGAGGACGTGCGGCGCAGCGCCATGCTCTGCATCCTCACCGTCCCTGCTACCATGACCAGCCACGACCTCATGAAGTTTGTGGCCTCCTTCTACGAAGTGATCGAGCACATGAAAATCATCCGGGATTCCACTCCAAACCAGTACATGGTGCTGATAAAGTTCAGCTCGCAGGTAAGAGCTGGAAGTCCCTTTGCTGTAGGGACTGTTGTACATGGTTGCTCTTTAGGAGGGCTCCCTGGCTTTAACCTGCCAGAGGGGAGACTGAGATGAGCTCTCAGGCAGAAGCTCTTCCCTGTGAGGGTGCTGAGGCGCTGGCACAGGGTGCCCAGAGAAGCTGTGGCTGCCCCATCCCTGGCAGTGCTCAAGGCCAGGTTGGACACAGGGGCTTGGAGCAAGCTGCTCTAGTGGAAGGGGTCCCTGCCCGTGGCAGGGGTTGGAGCTGGAGGAGCTTTAAGGTCCCTTCCAACCCAAACCATTCCATGATTGCGCTGTGCTGAGCAGACAGGACCCAGCCAGCTGGGCTTTGCTTGCAGTTTGGGAAGGACTTGTTCTGCTTTTCCAAGGAGCTGTCTGGTCTCACAGCCACTGCCAGCACAGTGTGAAAAGGGCACTCACCCCACAACTGAGCCCAGGGGATGAATGGATAAGCACACAACAGTTTGCTGCTTGCAGATCTTCTATGTAGCTATAAGTATTTTGCCCCCTGCCTGTTCCTCTGTGGACCCTCTCACTTGTAGCTTCTCTTCTCCCACTTGAAAATGACTCATTTTGGGTTCCTGGAGGGGTTCTCCCCAGCTGTCAGTTTTGTGTGAGGTCCTTGCGGTGTTGTGCGGATGCAATGCTTGTTTGTGGTCTGTGCTCTGAGCAGTAATTACCAAGGTGCATTTTGTGTATTGCTGCATCTAATGACCCTGGGCTAAAGAGTCTTGCACAAATCCATATGCTTGTACTTGGTTCACCCTGCAATTCCTGTTTCCTAGGACATTCCCTGAAGCCCTGTTCCCCAGGGACCCCTAAAAGGTGTCTCTGTAGGTAGCAAAGGAAATCTTAGGGACCTTTATGCTCCTGGTTGGAGTGTCCAGGAACAGAGGAAGGTTCACTCAGCTCACTCACCTCAATCTGATGCAATGGTTTGTGAGAGAAAGGGTTTGGGGAGGTTTCTGTGTGTCAAACGCATCCGTTTTCAGGTTTTATGTTGGTTCTGCCTGCTTGCAAGTGACTCTCAGGCTCCCAGCATACTTCAGTACATCCAGAGCATGCCTCCACTGTGACCAGTGACATGGATTCGTGCCCACACTTGAATTGTTCCTTCCCCTGACATGAGTGTCCTGCAGCATGGCCCTCTGAAACTTTCAGAGACCAAATTTGCTTTGCAAATGTGCTGAAATTGCTGACAAAGGGCAAAACAGATGCTGAAGGGAAACCCGTTATCCCTGCTGAATGTTCAAGTACCAGAGTAGCTGTCACTGCTGTGAACTTCACTGCTTGTCTTCAAGTGGTAACGCTAAGCCCAATGCCAAAATGCAATGCCTGCTGGCAGGAGCTGGCTATGAAATCCCTCCTCTGGTGTTACAGGGCTTGGTGGCAGGGAGAGGAGAGGCTACAGCAGACTGCTCTTCCTCAGTTGTATCAGCTGTGAGCTTTCTCTTTCTAACTGGCTTCCTTTGCTTTGTGCACAGGCTGATGCAGACAGCTTTTACATGGCATGCAATGGCCGGCAGTTCAACTCAATAGAGGAGGATGTTTGCCAGCTGGTGTATGTGGAAAGGGCTGAAGTCTTCAAATCAGAAGATGTAAGTTTGGTTGGGCTTGGTTTCCCTGCACTGCAGAGAGTGTTAAGAGGATCATTTGGACTGGGCAGAGTGTTGCAAGAGTTGCTTCACTACGTCAGCCCAAGCCCTTTATCCCATCCCAGTGTGACTTGGGAGAGCTTGTTTGGTGACTTTGTGGCTTCATGCCTCATTGCTGCAGTGTCTTTAACCTAAACCTGCCTTGGGGGTAGATCCAGTGAATCCAGAACACGGAATGGGCCTGGCTGCAGGTGCTGCAGCTGTACCGAGCCCGTGATGTGAAGAGGATCCTGGCAGTTGTAACCACTGTGTAGACTCATGGGATACTTTTAGTGGTTTTGTACGTTGGTGCCAGCAGTAATGGGAGAGAAGTTTGATGTTTCCTTATGTGGGTGCTTCGCTTACGGTGGTTGGAAGGTGCTGAGCAATTTGTCTCCCTGTCTTCTTTTGAAGGGCGCCAGCTTGCCCGTGATGGACCTGACAGAGCTCCCCAAGTGCACAGTGTGCCTGGAGAGGATGGATGAGTCCGTGAACGGGGTCCTCACCACGCTGTGTAACCACAGCTTCCACAGCCAGTGTCTGCAGCGGTGGGAGGACACCACGTAAGAGCCTTTGCTTTAGTTCCACATCTAAAGCTCCTTGTTTTGAGCGTGGTGGATGTGTGCTGACAAGACTGGTTCTGCTTATCAGAGTGTGGGGGCAGGAATTACTGCAAGTTCTAATGCTCTGCTTTTTTCCCATTAAGGGACTCCCAGAGAGAAATCTTCCTGCCAAAAGTAATTGAACAATGTTTCCCATGGGCCTCGCTGCTGAGGCAGGGAGGGAGTTGTAGAGCAATGCTGATTGTTTTAAAATACCATAGGATAAAAACACAGGGGTAAACAGCATGGGATGCACAGCCAGAATGCTTCGCTCAGCCTTGGGTGTCTGTTCAGTCACTTGTTTCCTTGGTGTAGCTGAGGGTGTGCTGCAGGGTGTGTTGCACATCTGGCTGCAGCTTAGGAGTCCTTTGGGGAGCCCTGCTGTCCTCCTGTCTTAGATACTGGATGGGGATGAAGAGGAGTGGGGTAAGAGAAGGCAGGCAGGGGGACAGGACAGGAGAGTGAGGAGAAAGGAGAAAATGTCAAAATCACTGAGTAAATCAGGGAGGGAGCTGCTCTAGCCAGGCTGTATGATTCGAGGTGGGTATGGACTGAGTGATGGGAGAGGGCTCAGGGAGACACCCCAGTGCACTAGGCAGGGCTGGGGCTCAGATCTGCATCTGGCCTTACAGCAGCTCTGCTTTTTGGTCTGCCAACTCTGTCCTGTTCCTCCTCTTACCTTCCTCCCTGTCCCTGTAGATGGGGATTTCCATGTGTCTGACTGCAGAGCCCTGACTGGTACCTGGGTGCTGCTCACAGTGGTGCATGTTTTGCATCCTCTGGACACCGTCGTTCTACTGCACATCAGGCAGTTGTAGATCCTGTAGCAGGCTGCTGCTGAGCTTCGCTCTGTTCTTCTCTATCACTAGTACCTGATTCCCTCTGATCAAGTGTGAGGAAAACGTTTACCCCTCTCTATATCATTTATAAGCCAAAGTAACAGAACCTCAGGTAGGTTAATGCCATTCGTAGCTATGCAAGTGTATGGGCTGCTTTGTTCCAAAATCAGTTTCAATTTGAAGCAGTGGAGCTCAGCCAGTGTAGGAGCAGGGTCCAAAACAGCACTTAAATATCTAATGTACAGTTTAAGCAGAGCTTACACTCCCGGTCTAGAAGGATGATAAAATCCCTGTCCACTTTGCTTTGGCGCCACGGAGGCTGGAAGTGCCTGAAGTTGTATGGGGAGCTGACTGCAATCCAGTTGTCTCCTCCCTTGGATATTTCTGTGGCTTATCCAGCAGCTAATGAAAAATGCATAAGAACAGTCCTGGCAAGAGAATGCTCAGCCTCAGTTACCCTGTTCCCTGGCTGAACTTCTAGGGCTTAGGGTCTGGACAGAAGCTGGTTGTGGGTCTCCTGTCTTTCTTTCAGCATTTTGGTATTGTTTCAAAAGAAATCAGAGCAGAGTCCCTCCTACTGATCCTTTTGGGGTACAGTTATGGGATGCTCTGCCTGGAAGGCCTGAGATGGGTTCCATTGGGGTTGAAATTGAAGTGTCTCCTCACCTCCTTAGGGTTGTTTTGAGTACCAAGGTATGTTTGCAGAGAGGCAGTACCTCCCTTTGGTACTCGGCTGTCCTCAGCAGTGTGTAGTTACAGCCTCCTTCCACAACAACATGTACCTGCTGTGTGAAACCCTGCAGGTGGTGGAGAACTGAAGATATCAGTTGGCAGCAGCCTGGAGGAGCAATGTTTAGAGATGTGTAACACATCTATACAAGTGCTTCTTGCAGTGTCTGTGGATGGCAGGGATGTGTTTCTTGAGCTCGGTCGTGGCTCTTTTGCTTACTGGCAGAGGCTGATGTTGCTGGCAGCCCCACTGGTGCTCTTGGTTGCAGATGTTCTCTACAGTTGGACTGCAGCAAACCCAGATCAAGCTGAGACTGTGAAATGGCTTTGGAAGAACTGCTCTTTGTTCTTCTGTCACTCAGTGGCTTAAGAACAGCCTTGTTTGGAATGGAGGACAGTGTGAGTGGGGTAAACGTGAACTAAGAGATACACACATACAGGGAGCATCCCACTTGCACAAGGCATTGACTTCTGGCTTGCTGGCTCTCTTTTTAATTACTGTAATATTAAAATGGAGCTGCTTGTGTCTCATCATGATGCTTATTGCCCTCTAGGTGTCCTGTCTGCAGATACTGCCAAACACCCGAGCCAGTGGAAGAGAACAAGTGTTTTGAGTGTGGAGTTCAAGAAGTAAGTAGGTGGGTGGATGGTGAGCGAGATCTAGACTAAATCTGACTGCACAGCTGCTCTAGTTGCTCTTGGGGTTGATTTTACCTGTTAGTGGTGCATCTGCTTTCCTTTTGAGTTGGAATCAGTACTGGAAGGAATCTCAGCTCCCAGGTTTCCTGTTCTGACAAATCTTTCTTAGAAGGTGTTAGCATGTGAGCTGATCAGAGCGGGTGTGGTGAGTTTGATAGCAGGCCGCTAAGCTAACACTGAACTTGTGGGTCCCTTCTAGTCTGTGCTCTTCAGAGCTTGCTTTTGTGGTCCCGCTGAGGCACCTCATTCATTAGCCAAAGCCATTCTTCCATGCATCTTGTGATGTTACATCAACGTGTCCAGAGCCTGCAGCCTCATAATTGCCTCGAATGAGCAGGTACCTCCTCCTCCTTAACCTTCCAGCTGAGCGAGGCTTTGAAGGAGGCTGGGGGGAAGCAAATACTTTGCTTTCTAAGGAAGAGACTGGATGCACCCAGCATGAGGAGGCCATCAGTGCCTGACCACGCTTCCTCAAAGCACTGACACCACCACTTGACAGCACTGTATATACAGAGCTCTCTTCCTCTGTTGGCAGAACCTTTGGATCTGTTTAATCTGTGGGCACATCGGCTGCGGCCGGTACGTGAGCAGACACGCTTACAAGCACTTTGAGGAGACCCAGCACACCTATGCAATGCAGCTGACCAACCACAGGGTCTGGGACTATGCTGGAGGTAAGTGCTCTGTCCTCCCCCCCTTGGAGGATGACCTTGTTTATAAAGCAGCTTTTGGGACTCCTTAGGAGGAGTACTTGAGGCAGAGCTTGCTTGGAGAGTAAGGAGTTTGCATCTGTACTAATACCTGGTCTTTTGGGAACATCCATCTCCTCTCTAATAGCAGTTTTCATGGGTCTGCAGCAGATGGAAGGGGGAGAATGGGATTCTCTAATATCAGGGGTGGTCCTGGAGCCTCTGTGGAATGTATTTCTTAATCCCTTTCCATCAATTTGCCCTGAGGAATGGGAACGGGCTGTTGTAATAAATATCCTGTAAGGTGTCTCTGCGAAGTCTGCTAAATAACAAATACATCTGATGTTGGCTTCCTGCCTTGCTAATGTGCTGCTGCAGCAGTCTGCATGGTTAATTGTGCTGCATAACTGGGGTCAACCTGGGTGTTCTTAAGCTAAAACTCCCTGTGGTTGGATTTTGTTTCTTCAGATAACTACGTCCATCGCCTGGTTGCAAGTAAAACTGATGGGAAGATAGTTCAGTATGAGTGTGAGGGAGATATGTGTCAGGAAGAGAAAATTGATGCCTTACAATTAGAGGTAAATATTTTTGCCTTGTTGGACTCTGCATTGTGCTGCTGGGTGGAAGCGTTTCAAATCCAGATAAGACTACAGTTCAATTACATCAGCCTATGCAGCAGCCCTGCTCCCTGCGTGGAGGCAATCATCTTCAGGCACAAGCAGGATGTTTTTACTGCCTCTTTTTTTTTCTCCTTTGAAAAAAAGCCCAAGCTCTTGTTGGCTCTGCAGAGCCAATGCAGCTCGGGGGAAGCTGGCTGCAGCTTCGTCCTGTGTTGCCCACTAGATTGAAGATGAGCTGGGTACGCTGCTGCACTCGGGGCACTGGAGGTTGAAATGGGTCCATATGTCCAGACTCACCCAACAGAACCTTCCCAGTGCGTCTGTGACTTGGTTTAAGAGCCAGGATGTGTGCAGAGCTGTCAGATTGAGTAGTTTAGCTTGTAAAATGAAGAAGAATGGAAGAATTCCTAGCTGTGTGCTTTCCTTGGCTATCAAAGGAAGCTGACAGGCTCCACTGATTCCAGCCCTGTTCTGCTCCCTTCTCTTGAGCAGATACTGATTTTGGGGGTGGATTTTGTACCTGTTGACCAGCTTCTCCTCCCTTACCAGAAGGGTAAAGGACAGAAACTCCAAATTACTGCTCCACTGAGCAGGTAATACTGCAGCATGATTTCAGCTGCCCACAGAGACCAGACTTCATAAGCCTATTGCTCGAATAAATACTTAAGTTGCCTTACCAGGAATTTTTTGAGTAACACTTCGATGCTGAACCAGGTAATTGTAACCCTTTCCATTCCTGAGAGGTTGATGCTTAAAGTGTGGGAGACCTCTCTATCTAGCTGATAAGATGTAAATGTTCCTAGAGAGAATGAATTTGGCAGTGTATTTTAGCACCCAGATATTACTGAGTGTGCAAGGCTTTTTGCAAGTGTTTAATTCTATGGTGAATGCTTGATCTGGTGCATATTAGCCTGATGATAAGAAATGATGACGTTTTCCACCCTTCTCATAACTCATTTGAAGAGCCAGAAGGGAAAAGAAGGGATGTAAGGCATATCCTTGTTCAGATGCCAAAATACCATTGGAATGGGCTGTACATGTTGGAGAAGAATAGCTGTGATTTGTTACACACAGCTGAGGGTGTTTTCCCAGAGTTATTCTTAGCGAAGCCAGATACATGCACCCTCTGCCTTGGGTTTTGGGCTGTGAATGGGGAGCTCAGCTTTTGGGATCTCAGACTCTCATGACAGAGTGGTTGATGCTTCATTTTCCTGCAGAGTGTAAAACCGATAGGGATTTATTGTTACTACAAGAGAAGGTCTTCAACAAGTTCTTGACATGATACTGGGTATGGTTGGGTGGAACTTGATCCTTGTTGCTGTGCTCTGAAGGCTTTGATTAAGTTGATTTGTATCTTGGAGCCCTTTGGGCTTCTCAATCAGCATAGGGAAAGCTGACTCTTGTGTGTGCATCTTCTGTGTTTGTAGTACTCCTATTTGCTGACGAGCCAGTTGGAATCACAACGGATCTATTGGGAAAACAAGATTGTCCGGATAGAAAAGGACACAGCCGAGGAGGTGAGCTCTGGGCATGTGTGAAACTGCCAGAACAGACCCCTGGCCACTGTTGTGCTCAATGGGAGATGGAGCTGCTCAGTCTCCTACAGCTCCAGCGCTGCGTGACGTGGCCTCGCACAGCCTGTTTCACTGCCAGCTGAGAAAATTGGCTCTGAGCTCTATCCCTTATCTCGATGCTCAGATCTAGCAATTTGCTGCTCAGTGGTGCAGAAGTAGGTAGATTGCCACCTCGATTGAAGGTTGATTTAAATGGGCTGCTGGGGAGACTGCAGCAGTGGTGAAAACAAGTCTGTGGTGCTGCAGGATCCCTGCTTGCCGATGCCATCCGTCTCACGCTGACGTGTGTCTCCAGGGAAGGTTAGTGTAGCATAGACAGTATGACTTTAATTTGCTGGGCTGCAGAAAGTGGGAGCTGTCTTTCTGCTCCAGATGCATATTGATTTGCCCTTTGGTTTTGATCCCCTATCTCTCCTCAGCACCCTTTGGGAAAAGTTCAGAGTCTCCTCCTACAAAGCATCCTGTAAGCAGGACTGCTTCAAAATGCCATCAGCAAAAGTCCAGTGAGGATATTTTAATGCTGCTCACTCTACGTAGATCCTTTCAAGTAGGTTTTAAAGTGAGTCAGGGTTTAGGGTTGAGTCCTTAACTCACCTTTCTACATGAGTTCTAATTAACCATTTAGTATCTGCTGATAGTGGCATTATAAATGTGGAAACTGTGAAGCTGAAGTAGTGGTCATTGACCTTGGCCTAAAGAGCAGTCCAGAAATCTTATGGAGGGCCCCACAAAAGGAAAAGATGCAGGAAAAATAATCTTGCACATGGTGAGGAAACATGATCCACAAAGCGACTTCAAAGTGAAAGGACTATCAGATATGCCCAAATGTGATTTCATGTTTAAGGATCCTTACAGTTTTATTCATGGCACTTGCTCTGTGTAAGTCTTGGCTGGATCAGTGCCACCATGCAGTGTATTCCATTATCAGTGCTCAGGCTACTTCCCCAAATCAACCATCAGCTGCATAAACATCCAGGGATTAGGGCTGGAAGGGATAAAACCTGCTCTGCATCGACTATGGCATCAGTGAAGGCACCATGTGTGCTGACACTGACGTTTGTCCAGATTGCTCCTCCAAAAAAGCATTTTCCCTTTAAATTCCTGCCTCCACCACAAGCTTTTGACCTTAATATAAGGGAAACGAGTGTTTCTGTCCATAAATATCCTGTCAGTCCTACATCAGAGGTTTTGCAGTGCAGAGAGAATAAGTTTGGTTTTCTTCAGCAGTAACAGCCTCGAGTTGTGAAGTAAAGGGGAAGAGGAAGCCAATGGACGCGTGTTTCTGTTTGTGTTTTGCATGAGTAAGATATTGGTGTCAGTAGGTCACTGCCTTATGACAGCGAGCTGCTGAGTCAGTGCGGAGCAAGGTAGCATGTTCATTTTCAGACTTTGGCCATGCTTCTTTGAGGTTTGGTTTAACCTGAGCAAAAGTCCAGCGTGACAAAGCCTGCAGATGGGAATTTCAGTTTGCTGAGGATACAAAACCGTCTGAGGGAATGGCGAAATGAATGGGAATGGCAGCCAGGGAGAAGCTACGGACCCAATGGAGCTTTGGTTTTGAATGGGGTGCCTGGCACGGATTTAGAGCCCGAGTTGTTGCTCTGTGTGAGCAGCTCCCACGGCAACGTGGTTCCTTGTTGGGGTGCTGCAAAGTGTAACGGGGAGGGTCTGTGTTAAAATGAAGCCTTCTCCTGGCTCGAAGCTTTTGCTTCTCTGCATATAATAATTGGTCAAAGTCGAGACAGGGCTTCGGAAAGTTGAGCGTCCCAATGGAAGTGCTGAGGACTTTGATCTGTTTGAAATGCCTCTGTGTTTGTTTTTACAGATTAACAACATGAAGACCAAATTTAAAGAGACCATTGAGAAGTGTGACAGTCTGGAACAGAGGCTCAATGACTTGCTCAAAGAAAAGCAGTCTGTCGAAAGGAAGTGGGTACCGCTGCCAGGTTTAGTTCCATGCAGCCATTAAAACTCTGCACACTGACATCCAGCAAGAAAAAACTCCTGCTATTCCTGGGCAGTTTTGGGCTATTTAAACTGGTAGACTGAGAACGCAGCTTATTTTAAACCGAGCTCTCATTTCTGTAGGTGTTCACAAACTGAAAGTGCCTGTCGAGTGGCGCACAGCGTTTGGGCTCTTGGCTCCTTTTACATGGTCTGCATATTTAGCATTCAGTAATCCCTCCCCTTGCCTGCTCCGAAGGAGAAGCCAGGCTGCTTGGCAATTGGTGGGTTTATCCAGGGAGAAGAAAGGCAGCTCAGCAGAGGCAGCTCACCCAGCACAGGGGAAAATGTGGCTCTTAGGAATTGCCTCGATGAAGGATGTCAAGCTGTGTGCCAGCTCCATAGGTGGGACTGGGTGCTCCACTCCCCATCACCCACCGGGCCCTTAGTGCTGTTGCCTGTCCAGCTATCCCAGCTGGAGCAGGGTGTCCAGGCTGGTGAGCTGGGGCTCCTTTCCTCCCCAGTGGAAAGGAGTCCATATATGATGCCAGCAAACTTTCAGGGCAAAAAGCAATGAGTTGTTAGGAGCAGGGAAGCACTGTCTGAAACACGAGGCTATTGATACCCTTGTGGGAGCATCTCATTGCCCAGAGAGGCTGTGGCTGCCCCATCCCTGGCAGTGTTCAAGGCCAGGTTGGACACAGGGGCTTGGAGCAAGCTGCTCTAGTGGAAGGTGTCCCTGTCATGGCAGGGGTTGGAGCTCGATGAGCTTTAAGGTCCCTTCAACCCAAACCAGTCCAGGATTCTATGATTTTTTTTTTGCCAGGAAAATAAATTCCAGGTGGTGGTGGTGGTGCTGGGGCTGTCCTGAGGGACTGGAAATCAAAAAGATGTGCTAGTGTTTGATCTCTGTGTGCTGTGCTGCTTTCCTGACTTGTGCTGCTCTTTGTAAGGTGTTCTCAGCTGAATAACAAAGTGGCCAAACTTTCCAACGAGCTGAAGGAGGAGCAGGAGCTGAACAAGTGCTTGCGAGCAAATCAAGCCTTGCTTCAGAACAAACTGAAGGAGGAGGAGAGGGTGTTGAAGGAAACCTGCGAACAGAAGGACCTGCAGATCTCCGAGATCCAGGAGCAGCTGCGGGATGTCATGTTCTACCTGGAGACACAGCAGCAAATCAACCACCTCCCAGCTGAGACCCGGCAGGAGATTCAGGAAGGACAGATCAACATCGCCGTGGCATCTTCTGCCAGCTCCTCCACAGCGGGCACAGGCAAACCCTCCTCCAGGAGAGGCCGTGGCAAGAGGGGCAAATGAACACTGGAATGCTCTGCTCCCGTATGGAAACTGGCCATGCTGGTGTAGGCCAGGCTCTCACCCCTTGGCACTCTGGCTGGGAATGCCCAGCTCACTAAAGCTCAGCTAGAAAATTGTCTTCAGAGCTGCTCGTAAAACCGGCTGCCGGTCAGTGGAGGTGTCTGTGGTATTTAAAAGCATTTCACTGCACTATTTAGCTGTTTTTAGGCAGATCCTGGTGCCCATTTTGCCTTCCTACCTTTTCAGAAATCATGCATTTGACTTTCCACTTGGAGAGTGGGCTGCTCTGGGGGGGAGGTGTTACCTGCGCAGTACCACATTCCCCATGGGGATGCTGCGGTCTAGGCTAGGCCCAGTGTGTGAGGCTTCTCCAGCTCTCCTGGATTAAAAGGATTCTTAGTTAAGAAGTGATTTCTATTTAATAAACAGTGTCAATTTGAGATGATATCTATCTCCTTTGAGTATGTGCAGTCCTGATGCTGCAGAACTGCTCGTGCAGGGGTAGAGCTGTAGTCTGGAAATAAAAAGGAGTGAGGTATGGAAAACTAAACCTTCTTAGTGGTGTAAGAAACTGAACAAGTCCTAAGGGCTTCCAGCCTGGGTATTAAATGCTTTAAGGGACTTTTCTACTCTCTTCATTTCAAAGATGGCCTTTGAAAGGCCAGTGCTCGCTGCCTTTGGGGCAGAAAGCGTCAGGTTTGTATCCTGGGTGCTGGTTAATGTGGTTATTTTACAGGTACTTTGACAGACTGAATAAATCCTTTGTGAAGATGTATTGTCAGCTGCCCCGGCATTCCCATCCTCCTGGAGCAGGGTGTGTGTTCACAAGCTCCAGTGCTGCTCTCCCAACATGAGGTGAGGAAGAGGAGTAACGCACCAGTTTAGAACCTCTTCCCTTGTTGTCTGTACACAGACCTTGAAGGAGTTGCTACCACAGGGCTGATGTGCCGGGGTCCAGATCCAGTTCCTGTGATCCCAGAGCGCTGCCCATCCTGCTCTGAAACATGGCATTGGCCCAAAGCTGGGCCACCAGAACACCCGTGGTGTTTGCCCCAAAGGGATGTGCATCTCTAAGGGGATTCTAAGGGCAAACCTGGGTTGTTTTTCTCTTATTGTTGCTTTTCACTTAGGCTATATCCCTGGTAAATCCTCTGGGAAGGGGCCAGGGGTGTCCTGTGTCTGTCCTTGCAGACTGCAGCACCATCCTTCTTCATTGCTCACACTGCAGAAGCAGCCATGGTCTTAGTCCTTAACAGCAGCTCTGCCTTCCCAGCTCCGAACTGGAGCAGGGAACTGAACCAGCTGGTCCCTTATTACTAGAGGCCATTGGGTTTGGCCAACAGAAAGGAGGTGCAATAAATAGAACAACTCGGAAGGTCGCTGTAATCCACTTCCTGCCTTTATGGACCGGGAGTGTGCAGCTTCCTCACTAGAGTACAGGGCACTGGTCAGTGCACTCGCAGTATCCCCTGCTTGGGTTTGGAGATCTGCCCCATTCATCTTTGGTCTTTTCTGACTTTGTAATGGGAATGTACTATTCTCTGGTATGTGGCTTGTACAACAGGGCCTCTGCCTGCTGTAAATGACTCCCAGGACCTAGAGATGCACACCACAGCTTGCACCCCTATAGAAACTGTTTCCTTTAAGATCTCTTTTTACACCGTCTTAAGAGCCTTTGGCTAAAAGCTAGGACACCGAGATGCTGAACCCTGGAGTTCCACAAGCTGTGACTGAAGATTAAACCAGCATCACAGGACTGCTGTCTGCGTTCGGCTGGAAGCAGAGGGAGGAGTCTGCAGCGGGGAGTACAGAACATGCAACTTCAGACTAAGTTCTCTGCTTTAGAACTGGAAGGCAAAGCTCTTTGTCACAGTTGAGTTGGGGGGAGTTTGGTTCAGCTGAGCTGCTGTAAGCAGATGAGGCAGGCAATGAATTACCTCCTGAGACGTGGGCAGCTCATGCAGGAGAGCCCAGGGTTGCTGAGAGCTTTGGTGTTGAACTAAATCAGTCCTTGAGCTTCTCCAGGGAGCCAAGACGACCGCCAGTGTGCTCATCCAGTGCTGCTGGGGCAGGTTGAGATGTCCCTTGTGGTGGGACCAGCGGCAGCAGCGCTGACGTGGCCTGAGCCTGCTCGTGGTGAAGGGAAAAGTCCTGCTAAAGGCTGATCCGTGACTTCCAAAGCCATCATCTGGACACCCAAGTGCCTGGAAAAAGCGGTCAGGTTTTGACACGGAGCTGCAGGTCAGCTCTGTGGCTGATGACTCAGTAGCACCGCGGCAGAAGGTTGCAGCAGAGCACTGGACGGCTGAGATTGGCCAAGCTCCTGCTATGATTAAAACCCTTAAAATAGCCTGACTTTATTTTGGTTAAATCAGGAAAGCAGTGCACATTCCTCCCCCCGATGAACAGCAACGGGCTTTGAGTGCGTTGGGTGCTGGAGCAGCATCAGAGAGCTCTGGGACACAGCCTGCCTTGGCACTTGCTGCATGGGCTACGTGGCAGTAATGGAGAGGAGATGCTCCAGCAGCAAGAAGAGGGGCACCTGCTCTCCCCCAAAGGGCCTGGATCCTTCACTTCACGTTCCTGCTATTCCCTCTGTGCGAAGGGTCCCTGATTCGGAGGCTGGCAGTGAGGGAGCAGGACAGCAGTGACTCGTGATCGCACACACGTGGGCAGGACGGTGACAAACACCACCCGAGGCAGCGGCCCAGGAGGCTGTGAAGCAGCAGCGCTGCGGTGGGAGCGCCCACCTGCTCCAGAGGGACCACAGGGAAGGCTCTGGGATTCAAACCAGCCATGGACAAACCCAGATGGAGCAGAGCGACGGCCAGAAGTCACACGAAGCTTGGCAGAGGCCCCCGAGCTTTGAGGATGCTGGAATGATTCACTCCAGCAGCTGCTCCCTGCAAGGGGAGGGGAGAGGTGGTTACATGGGGTCGGGTGGACAAAGGGATCGCCTGCTTGGAAATGCAGCCCCAAACCCTCTGTTGATGGGCTCCAGGAGCCGTTTCTGGGCCAGCCCAGCAGAACCGTCCCCATGCAGCCTGGTAGCACAGTTTGGGGTTAGACACCTGGTTGATGTTGCTCTGCTTCACGCAGTTCTGGGACTCACTAAATGTTTTGGTGGGCTAATTTGCCCTTTGGGGAGAACTTGGCCCTTAACATCAACTAATCCCCTCTATGACACTGGTTCTGCTCTTTGAGGTGCTGGGTGAGGTGGTGTCTCTCTGCTTTGTGCCCTAGAAGAGTCTTGCACAGCGCCTGTAGCAGAGTGGATGGACACGGTCACCCCACAAGCAAACATCCATGGGTATCCATCCATCCATCCGAGCAGCTAGAGCACCACATGGCCACGCTGTGTTCCCTGTGCCATGGTCCCTCCAAGGACCACGCTGCTGTCCCACCACCCTTTCTCTGCTCCGTTTGCCTTTTGACCAGAGCCCAATTCCCTAAGGCCCAGTGGAAAATTCCTGCCTTGATCTGCACCAACTGACTTGTCTGTTCTCGTTTGAGCTCTGAGAAAATCCCATCAGGTTCTCCAAGGCTTCCCCCCCTTCTCCTTTTACATAAACGGGCACTTTGATCTAATAATGGCATTTTAAAGGCAGCCCCATCCAGCAGGACAGTCTGCACTGTTTGGAGGGGAGCTCTGCAGCACAGGGGCGATGTTTGTGCATCCATTCCCAGCCTGGACTCTTGGATACGTGTCCTAAGGCTCCGAGCACCGGTTCACTTCATCCTCCCAGGGGCAGCAGCAGAGCAGTGGCAGGCTTGCTTGGAGCAGGAAGCAATTGGGGATGTTTGCTTTCATTCCAAGGCCCAGTTAAACCCCACACCTAAAGCTTCCTGCTCTGCACCACCCCTGAGCAAACACTATTTATAGCAGCAAGCAGCATTTATAGCTTTGCCCCTTCTTGACCTGGAAGCAATTGGTTCATCGAGAGAGACAACAAACCCCAAGGCACTCGCATGGTTTCCTTCCACCTCCTCGCAGGGAACCAAACTCCTTCCACCCCAAGCTGGTTAAACCCATCAGACACCCCAGAGGGAGCTGCGCTTCCTTCCCCGCCAGGAAATCAGTCCCTATTGATGCTTCTTCAGGGCCAACAGCTCCTATAAAGCTGCTGCACCTGAGGGGTTGCTGCTTTGCTGGAGCTGGAGCACGCTCTGGGGTAGCTGTGGGCTTTTCCTGATGCTGGGAAGCAGGGGGAAGCTTTGCTGCTCACTGGTGGGGCTGTGCAATGAGCAGAGGTGTCCGAGCTCACCCCGACACTGGGAGTTTGGTCTCTTGGTGATGTGATGATGTGGTTGTAGAGGTTACCTGGGCTTGAGGGCAGGGGGAGGATGCGCTCTTGTATTGCTTGTGTTAAGTGTGCGCCTTGTTCCTCACCTGAGATCCCTGGGGCTGTGCTGGCCCCTGGTGCAGGGCCCTGCCTGCTCCTCCTTGCCTGAATGGCTCCTCAGTGGCTGCAGTGCTTGTGCTCCCCAGGGCGCTCAAGTCGAGCTGTGAAGCCTCTGTGGTTATGCTGTGGGGTGTGGGGGCTCCCCTTAATGCTGGTGGAGACGACCAAAAACACAAACCCCACTGGGCTGGCCCTGCCTGGGCATTCAGGCTGCCTTCATACATGTAAGGAAGGCTTTTCCTAAGGGTAGACAGCAACTTGTCTGTTTTTCTTGCTGTTATCAGTGTTCTGTGTGGTGGTACCAGCCAGGACAATGTCAGGGTAGGACGTACCTTGGTTTGCTGGATGCAAAGATGATGTTCTCAACACGTTACGTGCCTCTGCCTCCCTCCTGCCTCGTGTCTCTCTATGTGATTTTGTGATATTTGTTAGTTGATGCGTGATGCTCTCAGGTGCAGAAGTGCATCCCATTGCCATATAAAGCCCACCTTGGTGGGCTCTTTCTCTCTGGGTGGTGGGAGGCTCCCCTTACAGGTATGAATGAGACTGCAAGCCAGCTTCATGGTGTCTGTGTCTGAGCTCTACAATACAACCACAGCAAATCTGTTTAGCACATAAAAGGTGCCTGGATCCCCTAGAACAATTCCTCTGTGCTGCTGGTAGGCTCAGTCCAAGCAGCATTAACGTAGGCTGGAGAAACTCCTCGTGCTGTTGGCCTGGATCCATGGTCTGTGCGGAGTCCCAGCTGGAAAACCTTCTGTGAGGGCTGGAGGAGCTGAGTGGGAGATGCAGCCCAGCGTGATGGGTGAGCTGCAGTTCTCCACAGGAGGTGGGGATGCTGTGCTGACGCAGCAGGAGCAGCCGGTCTCTTCCAAGCACAGCCATGCCAAGAGCTTCCCTCTGCAAGTGCAGGAGTTCATGAGGAGCAAAGAGGACTTTTCCCAAGCAATTCTCCTTGGCACCTTTTAAACGCGTTTCAATGGAGTGAAGGAGAAATCCCAACTGGATCCTGCTTGTTCAGTGAAGGAGCACCAAGA